CCATGCGCAGCGCAGCGCGTCCTCCCGGCTCTCTCCCGCCCCGGGCCGGCACTTTCCTTGTAAGTTGCAGCGCAAGTTTGCCCGCGGCCGGCAACGGGGGCGCCGAGACTCTCCCTCGCTCTCGGCCGGCTGGGCTTCTCCGGAGCGTATGGGCGCGGGTCAGGCGGGCCCGGGGGCCTGAGCGGCCGCGCCGCCTCTGCGCCCTGCGCCATGGAGGGCGCCGAGCCCCGCGCGCGGCCGGAGCGCCTGGCGGAGGCCGAGGCTCTGGCGGCCGATGGCGGGCGCCTGGTGGAGGTGCAGTTGAGCGGCGGCGCCCCTTGGGGCTTCACCCTAAAGGGCGGCCGCGAGCACGGCGAGCCGCTGGTCATCACCAAGGTGAGGGGGGGCGCGGGACTTGCTCGGTGACAGCCGGGAGGTGGCCTCGGGGGGCGGGAGACTCGTCGAGATCAGGAGCACTGGGGGGAGGGGTGTCGGTTCCGGGTGGCGCCCCGGGCCCGGGACGCTCGTTTACCTGGGTCTCCTGCGAGAACGTGGGGCGCTGGGACCCGCCTTAGGTGTGTGGTCCGGGCGCCACCTGGGCCTCCCTTCCTTGTTTCTCAGTCTTTTCGGCTCCCGGCGCCTCCGGGATCCCGTTTCGGATCTCTCCCCTCCCCCTCTTGGAAGGGGCCCGGCCGGGTCCCTTGTCTCTCCCGGCCCTGCTAGTGCCGGGCTGCACCTGTGGGCCAGCCCAGATGTCGGGAGGCGAACGTTCCCACGTGCGCCGGGTGGACAGAGCCGGCCCCTCCTTTCTTAGCCTGTCTGGATGCTTGTTTCTGCACCCCGCCTTGGACCCGCACCCCTTATCTCTAGGACGTGTGGGCGAGCAGCTGCCGTTAGGCCAGCTTCTCCATTCCCAAAAGCCCATCAATATTTACTGACGTTTGGCTTCCAGCCATAGATCCTCGGCGCCCTGGATACTTTAAAAAAAAAAAAACCTGAAAGTTTTCAGAGTCCTTTATAAAAGTGGGATTTGAGCCACCATAATAAGTTGCTACTGTGTGTGTCCATGGGGTCGCAAAGAGTCGGACACGACTGAGCGACTGAACTGAGTGTGTGTGTATGTGTAGGGTTTACTTTAAAACTTTGAATTTTCTTGCCTTTAAATAGAAAACCCATCTTGAGACTTAGCAGCTGAGCTTGTATAAACCTGTAGAAACACATACAAACCAGTCGTTTTGTTTTCCACTGGTTAAAACTGTTGGTCAGTTTCTCTTGGAAGGTCTGGGCCTTCCCATTCCTGGGGACAAAGTTCTCTTTAAAATGCAAAAAAATTCTTGGCTTCCAGAAGGGTTTGAAGGTGACTTACTGTTTTTTTTTTTTTTCTCTGCTTTCCTGCTTCACCGTGGCTGGAAGCACTGAAGTGACTTCTAACCTGTCCCACCGGATTGAATTTAGGAGGTGGTGTGGCTTTGTTACCTAGATAACAAATGAGAGACCAAACTAATCTTTTATTTTTTCTCATTTTTTGTGGTTATAAACTAGAGACTCTGAGGGAAAAGGGTGCACTGAATTTATGTTGAACTGGGGATGAGGCTGTCTTTGTTGTAGATTTCTCCCAGGTGCAACCTATTAATGCATTGAATTCTTTGAAAAGTGGGAGGCAGCCTAGTGGGCAAACCTTGTGCAGGCCTGGTGCTCCTTGCATATGCCTTTATAGCATTGTAGCTTGAGCCTTTTAAATAATGAGTTTTACCAGGCATTTTGGATGGTAAAGGTTAAAAAGTTACCAGGTGAATCCTGGTGCATGCTGCCACACGCGCATGTGTATTTCTTAACCACATGTTGTATTGCGTGGTATTGGAGGTGTTTCACCCACTTGCGTTTTTTTCCTGGATTAAATCATCTGTGATGGTTGCTTATGATCCAGCAGCTGGTTGTTAACAACTAAAGTAATTAACTGTCACTTTATTAAGAAAGGATGGAGAAAAGTGTGCCCATTATAATCTCTTAAAAAATGAAAGTAGATTGTTGTGATGGAGACTGGGGAAACATGTTCAACCACCAGAATTTGGATTAATCCAAGCTTTGAATCTTTTCTTTCCCAGTAGCTACTGAAACATCTCTAGGGCTCATTAAATAATGGATCTTCTAATAGTTTCTTTTTTTTTTTTTGCATTTAAGAAACACTGAAATTACATTACATATTAGAGCGCTGGGGTATTTTACAGCTCATTTCTAACAGAATCTGACTTGGAAGAAACCTCATCCCGTGTAAGAGGGTGCACTCTTTGGATAACGAAGTGTCTTGATTGAAAGCCTCCTGGGAATGTAAAACTTCAAGCTGGAGGTGATAACCAAGAACAAGGCCAGCTCAGTCTCTGATTTCCTGATGGAGTTTTATTAGCCCATTTTATAGATGGAACAGCTAAGTCCTAGAAAGTTAAAAGGTGAGCCCTGAGGTCACCTCTCAAGAAGGGCCCTGAGGGTCAGATCTTGACCTTGCGTATCTCTGCTGCTTCTGCAGTTGGAGGAGACGTGGATTCGATCCCTGGGCGGGAAAGATCTCCCTGGAGAAGGACATGGCAACCCACTCCAGGATTCTTGCCTGGAGAATTCCATGGACAGAGGAGTCCACAGGGTCGCAAAGAGTCGGACATGAATGAGAGATGAAATTAACACCACCACGGCCACGAGGGCTTTTCAGCCTTGGCACTTCTGATGTTCTGGGCTGGGTCCCTTTTTTGCTGAGTGGGGTGGGGTGGGGGGGTCCTTTCCTGTGTATTGTAGGGTGTCTAGCAGCAACTCTGACCTGTACCCACTGGCAGTGTAACCCCTTCCCACACGTGTGACAACTGGAAGTGTCTTGCATTGCCACGTGCCCCTGGCACAAAATCACCCTCGCTAGATGAACTGTATGCCACTTTTGCTTTGAAAGGATTTTAGCTTGGAAAGCTGTGCTTGATTCTTCTTTTGAAAGGTGCTCGGGAGGCCCCTGGCCTGGCCAGCCTGGGTGGGGAAGGCTGTTTTCTTCCTCAGGGCTGGCCCTGATAATAGGCTTTATTTACATAGTAAAACTCAAACAAATACTTGCTTCATCTGCATTTTTTGTAGCTGGAAAAAAGGAAATGGGAGCAGGAACTCCCGAGAGCTGGGTTTTATGGGCCCTCGGTGGGGGCTGCTGGCCGAGGAACTGCCTTTTCTCTGTGTCGGAGTCGAGGTTAAAGGGACCCTGACTCCCCCGGAGTGGCATGGTTGGAATCTCAAGTGCGCGCATGGTGAGTGAAGTGCAAGTCGCTCCGTCGTGTCTGACTCCTTGTGACCACCCCCCGCCCCGGACTAAACAGTTCATGGAATTCTCCAGGACAGAATACTGGGGTGGGTTAGCCGTTCCCTTCTCCAGGGGAATCTTGCCAACCCAGGGATCAAACCCAGGTCTCCCGCATTGCAGGCGATTCTTCGCCAGCTCAGCCACATGGAGTCAGTCCCCCAGAAAGGCGGCCAACAAGATTTGTAACCGTTCAACGCCTCGACACTGACTTGTAAGCTTGAGGTTTACCAGGGCCGGATAAAAAATACAAAGGCTGCTTTTGGTTTTTTTTTCTCCCGTGCAGCAGAAATAACATCTGTGCCCTAAGGAACTCCAGAGACCTTGACGTGTCCGCCTCTCTGAGGCTCTGCTTTGATGAGGGCCCTCTCAGGAGCGTTGTCAGTAGGTTGAGCGCGGCAGTTGGTGGGAGTTCCTCTCTCCATCAGCTTAGCAAGTGGAAGACTTGGGTGGGATGGGGGGGGGTAGCGGTGCGCAGGTTGCGGAGGGCCTGACTTCTGAAATGTCAGCGGAGGGCCTCAGATTCCAGAAGGGCCCCCTGGGGGGGATTCACTGGAAAGCCCAAAGCACGCCAGCTGGGTGTCAGCGGGCCCCCTGCGGCGTCAGGAGTGTTTGTTAACCCTGGGAAGGAATGAAGCCTTGCTTCTCCTTTTCATCACGTCTTAGATTCCCCTCCTTCCCCTTTCCCCTGCAGCCGAGAACGCTGGAGGCTTTCTGTGAGCGCCCCCAGAAGACAGACAGTCACCCGGGCTTTCCCCGGTCCCAGGGGCGGCTTCTTTGGGACCTTGATGAGTTTCAGGTTGCCTCTTGGGGACCTCCTGGGTATGCGCGGGGCCAGGGAGCTGGCCCGTGCGCCCCCTCTCCTGGGTCTCCAGACCCGTAAACCCCCTGAGGCTACCGTCCCTAAATATTCTTCCCGGTTTGCAGGCCGAACGTAGGCTGGGTGGGGGCGGAAGGGGCAGTCAGGACACACACTGGGGGTGCCGGGTGGGTGTGATTGGCCCACACACCCAGGTGAGTGATGTCCCAGTTCAGAGCTCCGCCTGACGGTGAAGGTTCAGAGCCATTGGCGGGACGCCTTGTGGTCTGCAAGGGGCTGCTTTTTTTATGGGTTGTGCTGAGTCATGCCGATCGGTGACCTGGTAACCCCTGATCAGGACAAGCTGTTGTCACTGATGTCCCTATATTTGCCCCCCCCCCCAAGAGCCAAGCTCTTTGTCAATAACCATTAGAGGTTTTGAAAACGGAATCTGTAGACGTGAGCTATGAATTTTTTTTCACTTTAAAAAATTAATTTAAATGGAGGCTAATTACCATATTGTGGTGTTTTTTGAAACATGTATATTAGCATATGTGAAATAGATGACCAGTCCCAGTTGGATGCGTGAAGTAAGGCATGCAAAGCCAGTGCTCTGGGACAACCCAGAGGGATGGGAAGGGGAGGGAGGCGGAAGGGGGCGTTCGGGATGGGGGAGCCATGTACACCCGTGGCTGATTCATTCATGCCATTGGGCTGTGAATTTTTGTTTAGTCACAAGTCCTGTCTGTTTGCAACCCCACATACGGTAGGCTGCCAGGCTCCTCTGTCCGTGGGATTCTTCAGGCAAGAATCCTGGAATGGGTTTCCACTTCCTCCTCCAGGGGATCTTTCCAAGCCTTGGGATCGAACGTGCAGCTTATGCATTGGCAGGTGAGAAATTCTTCGCCGCTGAGCCCACCTGGGAAGCCCCGAGCTATGGATTGGGAGCTGATTTATCTCAGCCTGTCTGCGTTTTGCTTGATGTCTGTGTTGACGCAGAATCCCACAGCCGCTTTCCCCGGGGTCCATAGACAGAAAAGGTGGGTGGATGAGGGCTGGACGCCCCCGCCTTAGCTAG